AGAAAGAAAGAAAGAAAGAAAGAAAGAAAGAAAGAAAGAAAGAAAGATAGATAGATAGATAGATAGATAGATAGATAGATAGATAGATAGATAGATAGATAGATAGATGTTTGACCCTGTATTATGCTCAAGGTTCTTTTACAAACTCTTGGTATACAGTTATTGCATACTTTTCTCCATCTTCTACTCACAACTCTTTTCAAACTGGCTGCTGACTCCATTAACCAACTACAATTGCTCTTCTCATGTATACCATCTATTTCTGAACTGCTAAATCATATTAAAATAGAAACCATGTCTTAATTGCTAAGTTAAGATTAATTTTAAATTAATTTTCCTTCAATTTGACATTTCTGCAGGTTCTGACACTGCCAACTAACCTATCCTTGATAATTCTTTCCTGTGATTCAGTGATACTGTTCTGTCCTGGTTTTCTTTCTACCTATTTGACCTATCCTCTCTCTCCTTTGTCAAATGATCATCTATGTCTCACCACTAATCTCAGGTGTTTCCCAGATTTGTGTCCTAGATTCTCCTCTCTTCCCTCATTTTACCCTCTCTCTAGGTGGTCTTATCAGGTCCCAATGGCTCAATTATCACTATAGAGATGGGTGACTTCAAAATCTGTATATCCAGCTCTAATGTGTCTCCTAACCATAGTCCATATCCCCAGCTGTCTGCCGGATACGTCTACCTGTATGTTCCACAGAAATTATAGATTCTACTATAAAATGCAACTCATTACTTTTGTCTCAAATTTTCCCCATTTCTGTGGAAGATGATACTATCCTTATGATCACCCATGTTCAGAGTTTCAGAATCATCCCTGACTTTTCCTCTCTCTCATCCCTGATATCCAGTTATTCACCAAGTCTTATCAAATCTACCTCGATCCCATTTCTTGCTTTTCCTTCTCTTTTTCTCTACTCACACAGCTACCTATCCTGTGAGCAGTTCAGTCCCTCATGTTCTCCCACTTGGATCATTCCAAGCTTTCTAATTGTTCTCTCTACTTCCAGATAATTATCTTTCTAATCTATGCCCCACATAGCTGCCAAATTAATATTCCCAAAATACAGGCATGAACAGAACATTTCTCTCCCTCAAAATCATCAGGGGCTCTCTGTTGTCTCGATGATAGATTATGAACTCCTCGGCAGGGCATTTGATGCCTACAGATACTTGCCTTCCCTATAACTTTCCACAAGTTTTGTATTATTTCCTTTCATATACTATATATTCCAGTCAAACTGGCCTGCTAGCTTATTGTCCTCACTCCCCAGTCTTTACAGATCACCTTCCATCTCTTTAACTTCGCATATGTTATCCATCATGTCTTTTAAAATTTCTGGCTTTCTTAAAAAGACATAGTTCAGGTATCGCCTACTGACTTCAGCACTTCTGGACGCCTCTGCCCTGGTGGTACTCTTTCCCTTTTGAAATTACTGGGTATTTATCTATCTGTGAACCTGTTGATCTCCAAGTGGAATATAAACTACTGGTTGGCAGGGACTAGTTTGTTTCTGTCTTTGTATACCGGGGAGCCTATCACAGCTCCTTATACATAGTAGGTATCTAATACATATTCACTGAATTTCCATTACACTAGGAGTGGGGGGAGAACATTGAACTGAGAATTAGTAAACCTGGGTTCAAACCCCACTTCTGAAGCTGCTTGATTTTGGAGAAGTTACCTGACCTCTCTAAGACAATGTTATCTCATCTTTGTAATGGGGATGAAAATATAACTACAGTATACCTCGCAGAGTCATCAAGTGGAAAATACTCTTTAATCCTTAAATGACTACACTAATATGCACTCTCTGCCCACCCATTCTTTTCTGATCATACACTCCTAGATAATTGGTGATGTCTAAGTGCATATGTGCACATATTTTCCTAGTAAATTCCAGCCACCATCCCTGCAGCTTAAAAAATTATTTCTTAGTAAAGTATATAATGGCTCCTGTA